GTGTGTTACCCAGGCATGGCGAGGGTGACCCCAGGGCAAGCTCTCTCACCTGTCTCAGGTATTAATGGGCAGGGGATGGGGTGGAAGAGCATCTCTCCTCAGCCCACATTGACACATGTTAGATGAGTAATGGGGACAGCTCTCCCTTGCTCAAAACATCAGGGCTGGGTCACCCTCACCTCTGCAAAAAGGGTCAGCTCTGCTGTGCTGCCCAGGCCAAGAGGAGGACCTGCTTTCCTGAGTGCTGCAGCTGGCAAGGGGGAGGGTCAGCTCTCTTCTGGGCTGCAGGTGGTAAGTGGCGGATATGGGGAGATTATCCTGCATGCTGCATGACAGGTGAGTAATGGGGACAGCTCTTCCACACTCTCAGCTTCAGGGCTGGCTGGCCCACACCTCTGCTAACAGGGTTGGCCCTATTATGTTGTCCAGGTGAGATGCAGGGCCTGCTCTCCTGAATGGTGAGGGCTGGTGGGGGTCAGGGACAGCTCTCCCACTCTTGTGGCCTCAGGGCCAGTTGTCCCCCTTGCCTCAAGGCATTGGTGGCAGGAAGGGGAGGGCCCTGTCCCTGCTGCCACAAGACAGATGGGTGATGGAGACAGCTCTCCCATGCTCACAACTGTAGTATGAGGGCCGGCTTGTTGGGGTTTCCGTCCCGCCCAGTACCCCAACAGCCGGCAAATCCCAAAGAGAAATTACACACAGGACTCCATAAGGTTATAAACTGATTGGCCCATTTGGTCAGGCTACTTATTAGCTCTTATAACTTATGTTACCCCATTATCCTTATCTACGTTAGCATGGCTCAGTACCTTTTCCAGTGTGACAGCTTACATGTTGCTTCTTCAGTGATCTGCGCAGGAGTGGTGGAAGAGCTTCCTTCTTCCCAGAAGAAATACTCCTGTTCTCATTGCCCCACCTCTACTTCCTGTCTGGTTGACCCGCCTATACTTCCTACCTGGCCAATCAGCGTTTTATTAAAATACATGATTGACAGAATACAGACAATTCTCCCGCACCACACAACTACAGAGCTGACTCACCACCTGCACTTAGAGGATTGACGCTATTGTGCTGTCCAGGACGGGTGCAGGGCCCTGTTCTTCTGCTCTGATGACCTCGGGGCCAGTTGTCCCACCCGCCTTGGGTATTGATGGGTAGGGAGGGCATCTTTCCACTCACCCATGCTGCCACAAGACAGATGAGTCATGGGGACAGCTCTTCTATGCTCACAGCTTCAGGGGCGGCTCCCCCCACCTCTGTTAACATGGTTGGCTCTATTGAGCTGACCTGGTGAGGCGCAGGGCCTGCTCTCCCAAGGGTTGCACCCCATGGTGGGCAGGGAATGTTCTCCCACTCTTGTTACCCCAGGGTCCACTCTCCCACTTGCCTTAGGTGGTGATGGGCAAGAGGGGGGTCATTTCTCACCACTCCATGCTGCCATATGGCACATGAAGGGTGGGTCTAGGCCTACGCTCATGTCCTCTGAGTTGGTTCACTTGTGTCCTTGTCAACGGGGTCCGCTCTGCTGTGCTGCACAGATGAAGGGCGGGCTTGATTTCCTGAGTGTTGCTGGTAAAGGGGTCAGCTCCCTTATCAGCTAGAGGTAGGGGCAAGGAGGAGAGCATCTTTACCTTGTCCTCACCACCTCTCTGCAGAGAAGGAGGTGGTGCCAGCTATGAACAGCAGACCTTTTTTTTTTCCAGCGATGTAGCTATTGGTAAGATGTCTGTACTCCTGCAAACCACCCCTTACTGATGTTCCTGTAAATTACCTCTTGCCCACGCTCCTGCAAACACCATAATGAAACCCTTTGAGTCACACACAAAAGACACATGAAAGTAGGATGGGGTTCTAATTGGGAAGAGGATTAGCCATAGCGCGAGGGGGACAAGAGAGGATCATAGGAAGGAGTGAAGATAACAATTATATATAACCAAGCACTCAGGAGCTAAAGGCAGGCAGATCTCTGTGTGTTCCAGGCCAGTATGGTCTACAGAGCAAGTTCTAGGACAACCAGGACACAGAGAAACCCTGTCCCCCAAAACAAACCAAACAAACAACAAATACCCTAGGGTTAGCTAATCAATGTGGTGGACGGGCTCTACTGTGACAACTTTAAGACACCGAAGAGAGAAGTTGGAGATGACACTAGAATGATCTCCCATGCTCACAAATCGGGAGACCTAGTTTTGGGAAAGTGATGTTAGTATTGTAAAAATAACCTTCAGAGTCAATGCAGTCCTCACTAAACTCCCGATGTTGTTCTTCATGCAACTAGAAAAACCAATCCTAAAATTAGTGCAAAGAAAAAGAAGTCTCTGAATATCTAAAGCAGTCCTCAGCCTAAGGAGCAATGCTGAGGGTGTGTGTAAAACCCAAACTCAAATTATATTACAGAGCCATGGTGACAAGACCGCATGACTGCAGTCTTCTAGAGTAGAAGACATGAAGGCTTGCCATGCAAGCAGTAGGACCCAAGCCCATACTAAAGAGCCAGGTGTGGTGTGCACGCTTGTAATGCCATGACTGAGGAGATGAAGATTATTAGAGACTCAGAGCTGAGTAGCCAGTCGACCTACCCTAAGCAGTGAGTTTTAGAGAAACAAGGTGGACAGTGGCCTAAGGCACATTGTAGTTTTATAGGCAGAGACTATGAGATCAATCTGAAGGGTAGTAAATAAGGCCCCAAACCCATTCCCAATGAGAGGAAGGGGAAAATGGTGGATTAACCTCCCAGTCTGCAGTACATCATTTCTGTGGATGCTTTCCACACCATTCCTAAGAGGACCAGTTGACCTCAGCCACCCACAGTGTTTATCTGCTTATCAGTATGTCCTTCCTAGCTGCTCTGTCTTCTTTCTCCTGGCTCTGTGTGTGCCCTCGGCAGCACTCCCATTTGGACCATGTGGACTCAAGTCTTCCACTCAGGATCTATACATTTTTCTGAAAAACAGAATCTGTAGGGGAAATGATCACACACACACGTGCACACACACACACACACACACACACACACACAAGTGCATGCCTGCACATTCACACACATGAATGTGCATGCATGCATGAATATATTTTTCATGCAATTATGGGTTCTGGAAAAATCCTAAATCTTCAAAATTAACATCCTTCTTCAAAAGTTGTTGGATAAGAACTCATATTCCAGGTCAAAGGCTAGTTGGTAGCATAATTCTCTCTCTCCCTTGGGAAGAGTCAGCCTTTTATTTTATTCAACCCTTCAGCTGATTAAATGAAACTCACCCACACAATGCAGGACAACTGTTTTATGCAACCAATGTTAATGTTAACCTCATCCAAAAACTGCTCAGAAACACCCAGAATAATATTTGACTAATATTACTGGAGTATTTGAGTACCCCATGACCAAGTCAAGTAGACACAGAAATTAATTATCACAAGGTCTGATTGGAGAAAACACACCAATACAGCAAATGTAGTTGCTCATTTTGGAGAACATTCTTCACTTTGTAATAAGAGTGTTTTCCGTGAACCAGAAATTGTGTATTTCTCCCTCTGCCACCTTGTCTGCATTCTAATGGAGACTTGTGGTTCCCATCAAAAAGGCTAATAATCCTCAGGACAAACCAGCCCTGCCATTGCTGTCTGTGGTTGTGAGACGGGACAGGAAGGGATGAAGGACAAACTTTAATGGTGTGCACATCTGGAGATTCAACACCCTCTCCCTGACTCATGTTCTGATCCTCAGGTGCACTCCACTTCTCTGGACCTGACGTTTAATTCCACTAACCAAGAGGCCAGATGAGTGTTTACATCCTACACTGTAATCCAGTTTAGGGGTGCCCCCAAAGACACCAATAGCGCGGTCAGAAGCTCCTGGCTTTGCGATCGCTGTCCCTGGTGCTGACTGGAACCTAAACCCTGTGCCAACGCGCATGTTTCTGTCCTTGGTGCTGCCCGTCGGTGTTTCTCTTTCCTCAAGGTTTGATTGAAAGAGTGGATTTTTGAAGCAAAGACGAAGGGTAAACACGCCGTTTCTTTCGCCCTGGAGTGTTATAGGGTTTAGGTTACTGGTCTGTGTGCCCCCATTCACACTGAGCACTCACTTTCTTGTGCAAGAAATTTAGCACAGTTGATAGAGAAAAACTAAGCAGGTAACGACTGGAGCTTGCACTTGCCGGCACTTAGCCAGCAAGGAAGGGATGATGCTTCGGCAATCTCAGAATAGAAATTTTTCTCAGGTTGGAGGTGTGGTTCAGGGAAAGTTCTTGCTTAGCTTTCAAAAGGCCTCAGGTTAGTCACACAGCACAACGATAATTAATAACAATCAGAAAATTCTCTCCTCCTAATTTCCCATAGCCAATATATTAGCAATTCCTTTGAATTCTGTTTTCTATTTATCTCTTGGGTTGGTCCACTCCTCACCTCCTTCAGGACTTCCACAGTGATCATAAAGGCCATCGTCACCGATTTCATCCTATGTACCCAATTGTCATCGTGTCTTGCAAGAATTATGTCTCGCCAGGCAGTGGTGGCACACACCTTTAATCCCAGCACTTGGGAGGCAGAGGCAGATGGATCTTTGTGAGTTTGATACCAGACTGGTCTACAAGAGCTAGTTC